TACCGGGAGTGCAGTAACCACAGGGGATGTGCGCTTCCCCAGGCGATGCCATGGTGCCTCCTCCCTCAGCTTCCTCACAGTCCTGTCTCACCGGCCTGGTCACCCTTGTTTTCCAGGATGCTCCCAAATGCCACAGTTACTCATGTCCTAGCCGAATGAAGGACATATCCTAGGGATGAACATATATATAATCATAGAATCATGGAATGGTTTAGATTGGAAAGGACCTTAAAGATCATCGAGTTCCAACCCCCCTGCCATAGGCAGGGATACCTCCCACCAGCCCAGGTTGCCCAAGGCCACGTCCAGCCTGGCCTTGAACACCTCCAGGGATGGGGCCTCAACAACCTCTCTGGGCAACCTGTGCCAGTGCCTCACCACCCTCAAAGTGAAGAACTTCTTCCTAATGTTTAATCTAAACCTGCCCTCTTCCAGTTTAAAGCCATTCCCCCTCATCCTGTCACTACATGCCCCAGTAATAAGTCCCTCCCCAGCTCTCCTGGAGCCCCTTTAGGCACTGGAAGGCCGCAATAACATCTCCCCGGAGCCTTCTCTTCTCCAGGCTGAACAGCCCCAACTCTCTCAGCCTCTCCTCACAGCAGAGGTGCTCCAGCCCTTGGATCATCCTCACGGCTCTCCTCTGGACACACTCCAGCAGGTCCATGTCCTTCTTATGTTGGGGACTCCAGAGCTGGACGCAGTACTCCAGGTGGGGTCTCACGAGAGTGGAGTAGAGGGGCAGAATACCCTCCTTTGACCTGCTGGCCACACTTCTTTTGATACAGACCACGATGAGTGCTCCACAAGAGCTCTGTAAAAAACAACTTTGATTTTGCAAATGGAAGCCTGAAGGCTGACGGCAGAGGAGATGCTGATGTCTTGGCTGGGAGGTACACGTGCACAAGAGAGGCGCCTGGACCTCCTTTGAAGCTCTACTGCCATACTGCATCACGCCCAATCTGCTCCCCATTGTGGGTTGTCCCCAGCACAGGTCACTGAGATGCCGGCTGTTTCACAAATGCTTTCGCACACCCGTGACAGCTTTGTGCTTCCGAAGGGTGATTAGAAAGCAAAGCTGGGTCTCCCCGTCACTGGAGCATGGCGATAAAGGCTCATGCTAACCAGAGTTTGCCTCCCACATGTGCAAAAGCTTCTAGAAAGTAGATGGCCAGTGGAGCTTCAGCTGTACTGGGACATTTCACTGCTTGAGAGGAATTGCTGCTTTTCCACTCGGAATTCTTAGGACAGTCACATTCTGCTTGGAAAATAATTGCAAGTGTATTACCCACCAGCTTTCTGAAAATTACATCAAACATCTCTGGGTGATGGATTTATTTTCTGTTTGTTTCTCTGGGATTTCTTCACTAGAATTTAGTGTTAACTGGTTATTTATAAATCCACGCATCTTTCTGTATATTTGATTACTCCTGTGTGTAGACTGATGGAGAAGTTATTGAGTCACTGTCATTTACTTGAGGGGAATGCTTCTATTTTTAATTCTGCGTCTCTTTACGGGTGGATGAATGGCAAGCTAATAGTCGTGTTGAAATTTGAATGTCAGAAAATAAGGGAGAAACTTGAGACTTGCTCTTCGTATTTAACCTGCTGTGTTACGTACACTATCTTGAGTTTTTAAACATGCCTTTACATACCATCCGTGCATATTTTATAAAATTAAGCAATCATGACTTCGTCCTTTGTAGGGAGCAAGATAAAAGACTCTGCCTTCTCAAATAGGCTAAACAAATTTGACAATACCTTATTTTTTCTGATTGGCCTTAATGTTGCTCAGGCTCTTGATTACCTATCTACTAAGAGGTAGTTCTTCAAGGAATCAGCAATGACGTGCTGGACCGATTGTCCTGTTAATGCTGTTGGTTGCAGTTAATAGAGTATCTTAAGGGATTGTAGGTTTATTTGCTATGAGAACGAAAAATCTACTTAATAGGAGGGTAATCTATTTGTTGAAGGTCTTTGGTGGGACAAATGGCTGCTCAATAGGGACATAAATGAAGGTTGCCAAAGAACCTTCTGCCCTCAGGGTCCTAGTGCCACAGGGGTGAAGCTGCTGCAGGTTGAGACATCAAGGTATCAGCGAGGTAACAACTTCCAGCCTTGCTGGGAGGATGGAGGTCTGCTGAGCCTTTTTGATCGCAGCATCTCACAGCTCATCTCATTCTGGGGCCAAGAGATTCCTGGGGCCATTCACTGCTCCACAATCGTGCTTACTGCAAAAACAGAGCATCACACTGAGCCTGTGGGGCAAGTACACCTTGTGCTCTGTGGCCATGGAGGATGTCCCCTGGATTGTGGTCACTTCTGGTCATGTTCACCTGCAGGAACATGAAATAGGAACAGAAAGTCCTTGCCAGGCCACATGGGAACTAGCAACGTCTTCTGGCGCCATGGTTTACTCCTCTGTACACTGAGCACAGCGATGGAGGGTGTAACTTGGCCAATTCCTGTGTAATAGTTCTCTTTGCTCCCGTTGTTACCAGCAGAAATGTTTAAGAACGCCTTGTAAAAACAGTTAGATTTTCTAAATTTATAATGGAAATTTAGGCTTTATCTAGGAGATAGAAGTATGGCCTTTCCTTGCATAAATACCTTTCTCAAATTAATTTTTTATTGATCTCTCTGGAACTGGCTTGTGGATATGAATAA